AAATGCATCAAAATAAATTTTAATTAGTTATACAGATGCAGAATATTCATCTGATCCACACAAAGCTCGATCCTAAACAAGTTACTTGTTCACATATGGAGAAATTTTAGCAATTTGTGAGCAAATTGTGAATGTGTCTAGTTAAGATCTGTAACTCGATATATTCGAGAAATGTGTGGCTTGTCAACCAAAAAAGAAATTCTAACAACGTTATATGAGAATAATATTGCTTGCACAGCACATTTGAAGGAAACATATATTAAAGGCGATCAAACAAAACACATAGTTCGTTAAAATCTTTCTTCACTCATGATTTTCAAGGAAAATAGTGAAATAAGTGTTCAACAAATTCAGCCAAGTGATAATCTAGCAGATTTGTTCACTAAAACCCTTCTTGCTGCAACATTCGAAAAGTTGAAATACAGCATTTAAAAGATCTCTACAATGCAGTCATCAGAGAGAGTAAAATACGCACTATACTCTCTTCCTTTATCAAGGTTTTTTTCATTGGGTTTTTCTTGATAAGGTTTTTAATGAGGCAGTATTTCATAAGCGTATTCTTGAAAAGAATTATGTACTCTTTTTTCTTCACTTGGATTTTTTTTCCATGAGGTTTTTCCTTGTAAGATTTTAATGAAGCATATTCTTAATATAATGGATATTTAAGGGGGAGTGTTATGAATATTTTTGTAAATATCCATTTATTTTATCTATATCTAGATTTGATATAAATCAGATTAGATTAAGATTTAATTCATCGAATCTCTAAGTGTTATCTTCATCTTGTAAAAGGGTTATTTACCTATAAATAGCCCTCATTAGTTCATTTGTATATATACTTCAATAAGATTTCTTTTCTCCCTCTAAATACTTTCTTTTCCTTTAAATACTTTCTCTTATATTTCTCTTATAGTTACCCTTTTAGATTTATTTCATAATAATAATTATTTTATATCATATAAGTTTTTAAAATGTTACACCTTTATAATTTTTATCATTAAAAAATTAAAAAATCAATTGCAAAAAACAAAAACAAAAAAGTATTGAACCTCTTTTTGTAATTACATGTTTTTTAACAAATTATTTGAAAATTTTTATCCAAATTTTATTTCACTTTTATCATTTGAGGTAAGCGCAAGTAAAGAGGCTTATGCTTCTAAATTGTAAGTAAGATATTCCTTGTTATTTTGTTCCATCTTTTTAATGCATAGCCATGTCCGTGTGGGTTTGAATCAAAGACAAAACAATAGTTTTTGAAGATACCCAGACCTAAGGTATTGCTGTCTTTGTCTTTGTCTTATCTTATGCTTGCCTCTCTCCTTCAGGCCTCAGGTATGTCTCTTTAGGTTATGTCTTGCTGATGAACCAAAACCAAGTTTTTAATGAAAGCTTCGTTTTCAGTCTTCAACAAGCTCTTATTCAGGAGAAAAACCCCATTCTGGCATATCCCATCTAAGAATTCGGTATCAGTTTCTACATCTCTTTTAGAATCCCAACATTTTATCACCCAACACTCTCAAGTGTGCGATCCCCTGAGTATGATCAAATCAATACTCTGGAAACGCGGTTGGAATATAAACCCTGAGAACTTATGCCCCATTGATTTCAATGAGTCGAATGTGATGGGGATTTTGACTGATTTGTTTGAGGAAAGTTTGGATGCTGAGCTTGCTTTGTACTTCTTCAAGTTGTCTGAACGTTGCGTTGGATCATTGCACTCGGTTAAGTCAGTATGTAAAATGATACATATCTTAGTTTCCGGGAACATGAATCATAGAGCAGTGGATTTTATTCTACGTCTTGTGAGAATTAGCCGTAGCAAAGATGTTTCTGAGGATTTATTGTTGAAACTCTTTTATGAGACACATAGGGATAGAATGGTTTTAGAAACCGTGTGTAGCATGCTTGTTGATTGTTATATTAAGGAAAACGAGGTTGGTTTGGCTTTAGAATTAGCATGTCAAATGAAGAGTTTGAACATGATTCCGTCAATTCGGGTTTGTAATTCGTTACTTAAGGCGTTGTTAGAGTTAAATGAATTGGACTTAGCTTGGGACTTTCTGGACCAAATGCTGAGGCAAGGGAGTGGTTTAAATGTTGTGATTGTTAGTTTGTTTATTGACAAGTACTGCAGTAAAGGCCAACTTTTAAGTGCCTGGACATTTCTGACGGAAATGAAACACTATGGGATTAAACCAGATGTTGTTGCATATACAATCATAATTGACTCACTCTGCAAGGTGTCTTGTCTAGGAGAAGCAACTTCTTTGCTGTTCAAAATAACTAGATTGGGTATCTCTCCAGATTCAGTTTTGGTTAGTTCTGTTGTTGAGGGTTACTGTAAAGCAGGTAAACCAAAAGAAGCAATTAATGTTATAAATTTCTTTAATCTTAAACCAAATATTTTTGTATACAATAGCTTTATCTCAAAGTTGTGTGCAGATGGTGACATGGTAGAAGCTTCTCTGATCTTTCAAGATATGTTTGAGTTGGGCTTGCTTCCAGATTGCATCAGTTATACTACTATAATTGGAGGCTATTGTAAAGATCAGGACATGAATAGAGCATTTCAATATTTTGGGAAAATGCTAAAATGTGGAATTAAGCCATCTGTGGCTACATACACAGTGCTCATTGATGCTTGCTGCAAGTCTGAGGACTTGGAAATGGCAGAGTGTTTGTTTCAGAAGATGACAACGGCAGGGTTGGTACCTGATATTGTTACATTCAACACTGTAATAGATGGCTACGGAAAGAAGGGCCACTTGCATAAGGCCTTTATGCTTGTAGATATGATGAGATCAGCTGGCATCTCTCCTGATGTTACGACCTATAACATTATTATTCACAGCCTAATTGAAAGAGGATTTACAAATGAGGCAAAAGTTATTCTGGATGAGCTTGTACGAAGGGGTATTTCTCCTGATATGGTAACATTCACTAATATTATAGATGGGCTCTCCAAAAAAGGGGACTTTGAGGAAGCATTTCTCATATGGTTTTACATGAGTGAACGCCATGTGAAACCTGATGTCGTGACTTGCAGTGCTTTACTTAATGGCTACTGCAGGGCACGCCGGATGGAAGAAGCTAAAACTCTGTTCCTTAGGATGCTTGATGTTGGGTTGAATCCAGACCTGGTATTATACAACACTCTCATTCGTGGATTTTGTAAAACTGGAAACATGGATGAGGCATGCAACTTGGTGACAATGATGGTTAGAAATGGCATCCTACCAAATAACGTTACTCATCGAGCATTTGTCCTTGGATTTGAGAAAAAGTGGGTCAATAATCCTGAAGAAAGTGCAGCTTTGAAACTTCAACAACTTCTGCTGAGATAGGATATCCATGTTGATGTTGATTAGTATACAGCTATGCTATAACTTTTCATCTGAGATGCAGCACTGTTTCTGAAGATTCCTCCAGCACTTTGAGCTGTAAGATTGTCTTCTTTTCATGTTCCTTGTATTTGTATGCTTGATTTAGCCAAATTGAGTGAGACTTTTCTTTGGCATTGTGTTTGTTATTATAATTTCAAAACAATGTTCTGAATTTCTGGCTTCTTCTCAGTGATCGTTTCAGGTAGGATTGCTGGTATGACTTCATCTTCCTAACATAAACCTAGTTCTTAAGGGTGGTCTCTTTGCTAAATGTAAAGATCTGCCTTGGATGATTGGTGGTGCTTTCCTGTGGTCATACCTTCAGAAATCATATGAAAGTCTTGTGGGATGAACCTGATTTATGACAGGCTAGACTTTAAGGTATATTTGGCCCTCATCTTTCTGTTAGTTCTGCTGAATCAAATTACTGCACATGCAATATGCTGACCAAATAACCCTTAAATTTTCATGCAAGCACACATGTTTTAACCTACATGAATCTGGGCATATATATTTAGATGAAAATTATTTGGCTTCTTAGATGATAAGAAGAGGCCTTTCTGGTTCTCTATCTCATTCTGTTTACAATGTCTATAACGATGTTGGAGACAAATATTTTTGGAAGGCAATATTTGTTTATGGTAATCTCTTAGATGTCTTGATCAGGTACATTTGATTTTATTTTTTGGTGTTGTGTTCTTAATACTTTATGTGGTTGAATTACCTTAACATCCTCATCTTTAATGAACAACAAGGAATGCATGTCCTTGGATGAACATTGACTGAATTTCTGCAAAGCATGAAGTGGTGGTGCTCCTACCTTGAAATGAAGCTTTTTGCTGTTTTCTGTATGGGGCTAACAAATGTTGGCTGTAAACCCAATGAGTGACATCTTTAATTGCAATCACACCCAGAATCCCCACTTTCTTTTGAGAACTTCCTATTTCTTAATGGGCAATACACTACTGCTAGGTGGTGAAGCCTAGCTTCTCTAGATTAGATTTCTTGTTCTTTCACCCTTTGATCTTCTTAGATTTTTTTTTTCAACGATTATTATCGCAATTGACCATATTTCCATTAGGAATTGTATCTCTCATCAAATCAAGACTCTTTCTATTTAACTTCTACTGTACAGCTCATTCTTCAAGTAAAGCGGAATATGCCTGTGATACATGGATTTGTTTGACAAACTTCTATTATAAATAATTTGTAATATATAAAACTAATATTTTGAGAAAAAAAATGTAATAGTTGCTCGAAATTTAAGATTTTAATATATGTATTTGAAGAATTAGAAATCTAATTATATTTATTTTACAATGCTCAAAATAAAAACTCTGAAAAAGTTTTATCAAATAATCTAAAAAAGAAAGAGAGTTATAAATTACTAATTTTCTTAATTGATTCAATACAATAAGTTTTGACTAAGTCATGGAAGAAGTTTATAAATTTGGATACATTTTATGATGGCCTGTTACAATGTAAATGTTATCTCTCATATTTCTCTTTTTGTTTCCAAAATTACGCTTCATATTACAATGTGTGTGTGTGTGTGTGTGTGGGTGAAAGTGCAGGAGCTGATTTCGGGGCCTATTAACATGTTAACTCTAACATATGTTCAGTTTAAATTTCCTTTTACTGTGTTTTTGTATATAAAATGTCTTTGGACGCAGAGTAAGGGTTGATTGTATTCTTTATTCAAAATTTTATCCACCTTACCTTCTTCAAAATTTGAAAACTTGAGATGATGATGAAGATTTTGTAGTGAGTATTTATGTTGGCTTCAGAAAAAATCATTAACTGGTTGCTACTTTTGGATGAGGAAATGAGTGGAGGAAAAGAGATGGGCTGCAGTTGTTAAAAACACATTTATTTTTTTGGAATGAAAACTTTTTATAGAGTATATTTTGTGCTCATCAAGGCTTAATCAACCTGATGTAATGCAGGGAACTTCAGGGTCTTCATCCTCCAAAATGCAGGTATTCTTTGAAACTTGTTGCAGATTTATGAAAGCAATTACCTCCAAGTGTAGATGGTCCTGGGAATTTCATTTGTTTCCGGTTCAAAATATGTGCTCAAAACGGGGGCACCACAAATTCAAGCTTGTAAGTTCTTTTTCCTCGACTCTCTTTGGGAATCTATTCAACCTTTTTAGTAATCATGGTGGAATTCTAATCAGTACTCATTTTATCTTTTTAGGAAACATGTAGCACATGTATACGTCAGTTAGGATAAAAGATATTGCTAGGAGATCCAACTCTATCTTCAATGCCAGTGGTGCTGAATCCATTATAAACGGGTGGAGGCATGAGACTTGTTTCTAACTCTACCATGTTGTGAGACGTGGCTTAAAATTTTTAATTTCATTTGTTGTAGGTGAAAGTGTTGGCCCTTTCCATTTAAAAGTGCCAACACTTGTAAAACAAAAGCTTGGTTTCCAAGAGATGTACTGAAGTGTTGACGCCTTCCATTAACAGTACAAAAGTGTTGCTCTAGTGATTAATGTTCACTTTTAAGCTGGTTTAGACTAGAAAAATAGAAATAGGTCTTGTAAGGTTTGTATGAAGTGCCTCCATCAAAAAGTTAGGAAGCCATAGAAATCCTTAGCAAATGGCTTGCAATGGCAGATTTATCGTAAATGAGGATTTGGGGAGAACTAAAGTACTCTTTTAGATCTTCGATAATGAATTTCTTCTTTGTTGTACATGTAATGTACAAGGAATAGGTTTCACAAATCATGCATATCATTTGTATTTTCTGTCATATTTTATTCTTTTGTTGTTTCATATTTCTTGATTAGTTATTGTCTTGGTTAATCAATCTAATGTCTAAGCCGGTTGTTTTGATTGTTTCCTACTACCATTTAGTGTTTGTGACGGTGCAGTAGTTCCAGTGCAGGGTAATGCTGATGAGGGCGATTTTCGGTATAGAGTAGAGAGTAAAAAGCAAGTTCTCCTAAGGGGAAACAAAGAGATATGGATGACCAAACTTGCAGCAGCACTCTAGTAAATGTTGGCACTTTGGCCTTGACTGAAAGTGAAGAAAGAAAGGGATTGTACAGAATAGGTGGAAGTGAAAAAAGGTTGCTTGACATGGTTATGATGTGGTATGATCATTCCTACATGGCATGAGCTTAGTGGCTGTGGGCATTTTAACAACTTTTCCAGGGAAAGAGAAGAGCCCATGGCCATGGTCCATGGATGGATTAAAAGGGCAGCAGAGATTGGAATTCTGGATCTTTCACCTGGAGAGCGGTTGTTAATAAGTGGAAGATCAAGTCAAGCGAATTGAATGTATTTACTTAGAACTTGTTTGGTTTGGGTTGTTTTGGGTTATTTTTAGCTTAAAAGCTATTATGAAGTATTTTTAAAAAATAATAATTTTTAAAATTAAACTAAAGTTATTTGATAAATTTACTTTTATAAATTTTGTTGGTAGATAAATTTTTTGGCAAAACAATATATATAAGTTTAATTTTGATTATAAATACCATAAAAGATATTTAATAAATTTTTTTTAATCGTAAATTTCTTTATTCATCATGAAAAGAAATTAACTATTTTTTTATTTATTTCAAACAAAATTTTAAAAATATAAAAAATATTTTTGTATAATATAAAGTTTATAATTAATAATAAATTATAAAAAAAGAGTTTCACAAATAATTAATAAGTAATACATAATTCATAAATAACTTATAAATCAATAATTTTTATTTTGTATTAATGCAGTAATTATTTTGTTACGAACTTTACTTATGTAATTATCATTCTATATTCTATTATAAGCGTATATATTCATTTCTTTATCATTATTTCTTTCTTCTTGACTTTTAAGGATATAATTGAAATTACGATCACATCTATCAAACTTAGTATCTATAACATCACACTATCTAATGTAGTTATAAAGCACCGTTGTTATAACAATAATATTTTCTTGTTTTATCATTAGAAATAGTTTCATATCACATAAAACATGTCACCTGTTTTTTCGAACTTCAATTATTCATTCAATAACATTTCTTAATAAAGAATGTTACATAGTTGAATATTTCTTCTACACTTTCTGGCTGACTGTAACATCTAAAATTAATAATGTGATATCTTTCACTTTTATAAAGTGCTAGTTCCCTTTCATATTAGGATAACTAACATTCACTACATAGTATTTACTTTAAAAAATTAAAAGTGTTAGTATTAGTACATTAAAAAAATTCAAGAGGAATAGCAGGAACATGTGATCCATTTATGGCACCAATGCACTCTTGAAAATAAGGCTAATATCTATGATTAATTTTAATTTTGGATGGAACTTTTGCAAATTGAAAATCTAGAGCTCGACAATTTCATTGGCCTATAAATATAAACTATCTAACACTTCATTAAACTTCCTACTTACAGTTTATTTTGATTTTTCAAATTTATTTTGAGTATTACAATTTGTTTTGCTGTGTACACAAATATAAAGAAACATAACGACCGCCTCCAATGTTGTCGTGTCTTTAAATAAATGTAATCATCCCTTATTCATTAATGTATTTGTAAGTTGCAAATTAGCTTGTGATTCCATTCTAAACATTCTATAACTTTCACCATAATTTGTAAAGTTTCACATAGCCAATTTCATCCATCAGAATAATTGAATTTGTTTCTTTGTTTCATTAAATATTTCATGTGATATATAATTGCACTGTCAGCTCCTCCATATTTGTTTTGATAAAACCTTGTATATTTTCTTCTTTTTACAACTTGTACTGATGACATTGAAATTTCAACACTTTCAACCGCGTTATGACTTTCTATTGCCTCACACAATTGTTCTAATGTTCTTAGTAAGCTTGTTGCAGTCCCAATTTTTGCCTTACCCTTTAGTACTTTTTTTCCCATTTCTTCTGGCATCATTATTTTCCTTTTGATTTAGCAGTTTACCATAAGACTGTCATCTTCCTGACAATTGATTTCTTCAGCATTAGATTCAACAATTTCTTGTAATGCAGTTAGATATGGAGATTCGACAGTATCTTTAAATGGTACACTATCGCTAATGTCCATGCATTTTGACTAGTAGCTACTACATCCCTAAATATAAATTCTAATTCATCAACATGTTTTAGCCTGTGATATCGAAATCTAGCATATTTTGGATTGGCCTACAAAAACATCAAAGAGAAAGAAACTTTTAAACAACTTGCATATGTAAAATAATTTATAATAGTTAAAACACACTTTTATTTTGGCTTCCCACCATGTGGCATCAACTTTGATGGTTCCCGTCTCATGGTTTCAACCCAAACCTGTTTCTTTGCTCTTCAATTGTTTTCATAAAATCTATTAATTCCTTAGACTATCCAGTGTACTTTTCAATTGCTTTTGGGTATAGTTTTTATTAGTACAAGTATTAAATTCCTCTACTACAATTTCCCATCTTTTAGTTTTGAATGAAATTTCTGGTTTTCTATACTTACGAATCTCATATGTATAAACTGGATGTAAGATTTTGATAGTGACCAAATCCCACTTTGCATTATGTTTTAATTTTTTTGAAATTTTAAAAACAAGAGAAGGCATTTCTTGGACAGCCATAAACTGCAACAAGATATATAAAGCAATAAATCTTGTGTAATTACTACTCTATGAAAAACTAATCATTCTTAATTCTCAACTTTTTCAAATGGAAGAAATTAATAGACACTTTTAACTATAAATGCATTGCTTACACAACACTAAAATCCAAAATTTTATATATATCATATCGGCCAAGTTGTTTCACATTGGAATATCTGAATGCCTGAACGCCTAAAATATCCAACACGTGATCTTACTTGCTTGAAAAACTTTACCTTGTTAGGCCGTCAATAAAACTCTTATGTTGCTTTTTAACTGTTTTCAAAGGTTGTCATAGTTAAATGTTGAACTTCTCCAACCTAATAGTCTAAAGTTTGAACAGGTTACTTTTAAAGTTTGGAAGGTTCTAACTTTGAAATTTACCTTGTTACTGTAGCAATGTACCAAAGGTTGTTTACATGCAACATTTAAAATCTCTAGTAAAAAAGGAAATAATCTTACTTGGATAGTTTATCTTTCTAATAGGTGTACATGTTTACAAATCAATGTAAAACTTTCATTTTTGTATTGCAAAAAAAAATCCTAAATCTGAAACCTTTTACAAAATCCCACCTTATAAAAGACTGAAAAGTTATTCCCATGGCTAACCATCCTTCCACAAGTACGCTTAATGATGACTTCAGCATGGGTACACCACCTAGCAATACTCTTATCACACCCAAACCTATAGGCTAAGCTCACAACCACTTGCACCACCATTAACTTCACCATATAGTCTCATATGAATGCAACATCAAGCAACAATATGGCAAACCCAATTGCAAAAGCATGAGTAGATGCACCTAACAAAATCATGCTTTGTATATTTTTTTTATTAATTCCTTGACAAAACCCTTTACAAAATCTCACTCAAACTTTAACTCTTCTGGTTTTCTACTTAAATAGAAGATTCAACAAGGAAATAAACATATAAAACTTCACACAAACCAAAACTAATAATTAAGAACATATATAAAACCCTAATTGAAAAGATGTACTAAAGTACATGAATATATATATATATATATAAAAACTATAAAAATTTGGATATTAAGATTAAAAAAAAGAGTATTTCAAGTGTTTAACATGGACCAAGAGCATCATTTATTGACATACATATTGAAATCTAGATAAACCATAAAAAAATTATTTAAGAGTTTTTAATATTCAAGAGATATACTTGAATGCAGCTTTGAATTTTAGATTTTCTTTTCTTTTAATCTTTGTAAAAACAAAAAAAAAAACTTAAGTTTCATTGTTGCTAGAACTTCTACTTCTACTTTTAAGAGGTAAATAGGTTGAAAAAAAGTTGAGCTAAACAAACACAAAGTGTTTCAATTTTTCGGATGATTTTGTAACTATCCTTTTTCTTAATGTTATTCCCTTTTATTTTAATTGAAATGTCTCTTTTACTATTTTAAGATGTTTCAAAATAAAATATATATATATATATGTTGTAAAAGAAATAATAGAAACAAGAAAAAAAGATAGATATTGAGAGAATGTTGTTTATGTATTTCTGAAACAATGCTTGGAATGAAAAATAACTGTGATACCAATAAAGGTGGGATGACCCCTTACTTATAGTTGAAGCCCCTTACGGATTAATGGTTATCACAATCTCCTACTAAGATATATTTCTAAATTACATTATCTTCTTGATAAATCTCATATTCTCACTTAGATAATATCCATATGTAGATAAATCTTGAACATCTAGAAAGTGGATAATATATTTATCATTTATCAATTTTACTCTAATTTGAATTGGTCTATTGTGGTGTGACATGTCCATGTTCTATAACACTCCCCCTTGGACGGAGCACTATTGTGGTGGCCTAATTGGTGGAGTGAATCTGTTTAATGTCAACTTATCGACTTTCCTGAAGTTCGTGAGTATAGAAAAATTTCAACGAGATATGCTTGGTCTATCACCTTTAATATATCCTCCCCTAACTTGTGCAACACAAACACCATTATCTTCATAAATTATGATGGGAGAATTTGTAATCGATGTTAAACAATAAGAATTATGAACATGTGTTATAACGGATTAAGGGCGATAATCTCAAAGTGATTAAAGGATGTAGCTACTAGTGTTTGCTTAATAGAGTGCCAAGAAATGGCAGTGCCATTTTAGCAAAATAAATAGTCGATTTGAAAGCGAGCCTCGTGCAGATCAAATTTATATCTCACATCAATACATCCAACTAAACCAAAGTTAGTGGAATACTTGGAATTATATAATCTCAAATCTATGATT